ATAGGAGGGCACGAGGAGGCATGGAGTGGTAGGAGGGGGCACTTTCTGGATCAGGACAAAAACTGCCTGTCCCCTGGGGCAGCTGGTCCCCTCAGCTTTACGCTTTCTATCCAGGTGACTGGTACAACCTCTAAGGGCTCAGAGAAGCCAGACAGGAGGGAGCACCTGCTAGGGCAGCTCTCCAACTTCTGGGGAGGGGTGGGGGGTGCTCTTAGGAGCCTGGAGTCTGGAGTCTGCTCAGGAGGTGGGGGACAGGTCGTCTGGTGCAGGCTAGAGGGTTCTGGGAACCTGAGCTCGTTTCTCTGAATGACAGTTCAGCTAGAGGGGTGGAGCCAGCTCCCTCTCTACCCCAACCCCCTGCGCTCTCTGTACCCTACACTTCAGAGAAGGCTCTGGTATAGGTGGGGGACAAGCTCTCTGCCCCTCCCTGCTGTGTAGCCACTTTCTACTATTCCATCCAGCCCAGACTCTCCTGCCCCTTCCCCCTCTGTTAGTAATGTAGTGGGGAGACAATAGAATTAAAATGTTAATCAAGCTACATTCAGAGACCACAATATGCTGATCAGCCCCGCAGCCAGGCCAGGAGGACATCTGTAGAATAAAGGAAGATTTCTGCTGGGGTTACTAACAACCCATTTCCCATACCTGTGGAAGGGGAAACAGGAACTACAGAGTCTTTAAGCGGCACGCTACACAAATAAAGTCATTCATTCCCTAAGGCTAAAACAAAGGGGAACCTATGGATTAAAGGCTGGGAACTGCCAGCAGAATTTTCACTGTACATATTCTTACCTTTTCACCCTTCATTTCCCCTTCCTCACTGTATGTCCATATCAAAGGAAACGGGAACTAAAGAATGACATATAAACTGAATTCCCTGAACACTCAGGGTCCCCTCACTGCCTCTGAGAGGAGACCACAGTCTGTCTGTGGAGTGTTAGTCTCTTTTCTAATAAACTTTCTTTTGCCTCTAACTTTGGCGTGTGTGTTGAGTTCTTCCTATTCTCTCCTCCAAAGCGCCCTCTTCTTTTCTCAGTGCAGGGCTTGTTCACTCCACCCCTCGGGAAAATTTGCCCTGTCCTGCATCACTGGAACATTACATTCCAAGATTCTGATCAGCCTTCCCCTCTCAGCTCCCTCTGGCAGCCTGGGGCAGGGAGAGCACACTGGCCTGGGGATCTGGGGGTCGGAAGACCTTGGACCAGTCATGGAGTTTGTGATGACAGAAAAGGGAGGAGCTGAATCAGATTCCACAGCACTTGTCTGACCTCTTCCCTCTCTTCCTCCTGCAATTTCTTGCCAAGACAAGCACATTCTGCTTTCAGATCATCTCATGAATGATGCCTATCTCTTCCTCTCCCCAGTGCCTCTGCCCTCCATGGCCAGTTCTGTTCCGAGCCCCCTCTAACCCCTCAACCACCTCACAGGGCCTGTGTACACTCCCCGTCACACTTTCTTCTCTCCACACCTCAGAGGCTCCTATTTCAAGAGGCCTTTCTGGGTCTGCTCCAATGTGCCACCTGTGCCTCACCTCTCCCACTGACCTCCACGCCCTTGGCTTTGGCCTCACTAGGAAGCTTGCCTTGGCCTGAACGTGCCCTGTCTTCTCCAGCCATAGGTGCTTGCCTCACGACACACTCCTCCATGGAAATGCTTTCCAGCCTTCAAGTACCATCTTAAAAGTGTGGAGAAAAAAAAGGGTTCTGTAATAAATCTGACAGGTCCAGTAACTGAAAATAACACCAGGGTAATCAGATCATAAATTCCTAACTGAGCAGGTCAAGGTGGGCAATCACACCCCAGGCATATAACTTCTTTAGTAAAAGTCTTATCTTTACTTTATGCCAGCCTTGTTCACTGTTTCTGTGTATTTGGTTAAGGCATCTTTGAAAGCCTCTCTTTCAAACTCCTCAGAAGGGTAACCACCCTAAAGAGAGCACGTGTAATCTTGTTAACTATCCTGTAATCCAATTTCTAGCTTGCTTTCTCCCACTTTCGTGTAATCTTTCTTACTTTCTCTCCTTAATTCCAAATGTATAAAAGAGACTTCAAAACTGTTATTCCCTGGAGCATTTGAGATCTTGCTTCCTGGCAGTGTCATCAGGTTTGGCTCAAGTAAACTCATAAAAAATCCTCTACAGGTTTGGGTGGTCTTAAGTTGACAAAAGCCACTTCCCAATGAGGCCTGTCCTCAGGTCCCCAAAAAGGTGAAGTGTATCCTTGCTCTGAACCTTTATCTTATTAAAGAAAAAAAATCACAAGCCCAAGATGGCATCCCTTGTGCTAAAAGCTCATGATACCAAACCTAGATTTAATATACCTGATCTAACTGCTGTTACAATTGCTGGTATAAGTAACATCCAAACCTGTAGAGAATTTTTATAAGCATTTATTTGAGCCAAACTGATGACATATGGCAGGGAGCATGATCTCAAATGCTCCTGAGAATAACAGTTTTGCAGTTTCTTTTATGCTTGAGATTAAGGAGAGAATTTAAGGAAAAATTACAGGAAGGTAGGAGAAAGCTAGGTGGGGATCAGATTACAGGGTAGTAGTTAATAAGATTATGTGTTTTCTTCAGGGTGGTCTGGTATTAGAAAGAGAAGTCTAAAAGGGGACATTTGAAAGATATGTTAACCTAGGTACACAAAAACAATGGACAGGGTTTGCTTAAGGCAAAGATAAGCCTTTTACTAAAGAAGTTATATGCCTGGGGTGTAACTACCCACCAGGACCTGATCTGTTAGGAACTTATGATCAGATCACCCTGTGAGGTTACTTTCCATAGAACCCATTTTTCTTCCACACAACCTCTCCCAGAAACATAACCTTAATCAACTAGTCTGGAATTTTCTGGTCAAGCACCAGAAGGTAACCTGTCACAGAGCCCCGCCCCCCCATCCCTCAGAGAAAAAAGAGGCAATCTACATGATAAAAAGCCTTCCTCTTCGAAAAAATGTCCAGGTCCAAAAATAATTTTAATCTTTTCTCTTTTTTTCACTAATAGCTTTCTTGCCTCACCCTTCTTCCTATAAAATCCTTCCATTATGTACAACCCTTATGAGCACGCTTTTCGTGGTTAGAGAAGATGCTGCCTGCTTCATGAATCATTTAATGAAGCCAGTTACTGGGGGCTCCTCAAGGACTGACACCCAAAGTAATTACTGAGTTTTCTTAACTAGACGTGTCCTCTGAAGTCTGGCACTTCCATTATTAGGAATGTAGATGAAAAAGGGGTTCTATGGAAAGTAACCTTGCAGGGTGATCTGGTTATAAATTCCCAACTGGGCAGGTTACAGTGGGCAGTCACGCCCCAGGCATATAACTTCTTTAGTAAAAGTTTTATCTTTGCCTTATGAAGCCTTGCCCATTGTTTCTGTGCATCTAGGATAATACACTTTTGAAAAGTCCCCTTTGAGTCCCATCATTCTAATACCTGCTGTAATCTAATGTCTGCCTTATTTTCTCCCATCTCCAGGTAATTTTTCCCTACTTTCCCTCCTTGTTCTCAAATGCATAGGAGAAATTGCAAACCATTATTCTTGGGAGCATTTGAGATCTTACTCCCTGGCATATGTCATCAGTTTGGCTCATATAATCTCATACCAATTCTCTACAAACTTGGATGTTTCTTGACAGGAAGCTAGTAAGGACCACGTAGAATACAAGGAGTTGCAAACTGGTGACCTGTGGCCCAAATCTGATCCATGGGTGACACGATGTCTTTTTAATTGATAAAATTCACATAACATAATGAACCATTTTCAAGTCTACAGTGCAATGGCTTTTAGTACATTCACAGTGCCATGGAACCACTACCTCATCCCCGAAGGAAACCCCATACCCTTTAAACAATCACTCTTCATTTCTCTCTCCCCACAGCCTCTGGCACTAATCTGCTTTTTGTCCATATGGATTTACTGACTTCAGATAAGTGGAATTATACATTTGGCCTTTTGATCCTAGTCTTTCACTTAGAATACTTTTCTGGAGGTTCATCCATTTGTACCATGTATCAGCATTTCATTATTTTAGGGGCTGAATAATATTCCATTGTATGGATATACCACAATATGTTTATCCATTCATCTGACAATAGACAGCTTGAACTATGTCCACTTTCTAGCTGTTGTAAATCGTCCTGCTATGAACACTGGTGTACAAGTACTTGTCTGAGTCCCTAGTTTCACTTCTTTTGGATATATACCTGGGAGTGGAATTGCTGGGTCAGGAGGTAATTCTATGTTTAACTTTTGGAGGAAGCCAGGATGTTTTAATTTTTTGAATCTGAATGCCTTTAGGTATCCATCTCTATCTCATCTGTCTTGCCTTACACCCAAATGTTTGACTCATTACTTGTCTGGCCCCTGAAGGCATCTAAATTTGCTGCCCCTAGTATCTAGAAGGCTTCGGTGACAAACAAAACAAAACAAAACAAAACACAAAACAAACCGTCGCCCAATTCGGTGGATAAGGATTTGGAGACCTTGGGTAAATCTCTCCACCTCTTTAGACTAGCATTTTCCTCAGCCTCAAAAAGAGATAATAATACCTAAGGGAAGGAGGCGAGGATCAGATAAACGATGGACCTAACGCGCCTCTTTCAAAGCTGCGGAGTTCTAGAAACAGAGAGGGGCGGGCGAGGCCAGCAGGAGGAGGAGGAGGAGGAGCGGGGCGGGCGGGGCGC